AGCTTATAGGTAGGTTGTAGGAACATATTCAACTGCAAGATGTGAGGGAATGAGGTGCTTAGTTACAGCTAATGCTTTGGGTTTGAAAATTCCAGATTTGGATCTGGTTTGCATTGGGTGGTTATTAGTAGGTAATGTAGGTTGGAATGAGTTGATATTTGGAGAAGTTGCAGATGTTGTATTTCGAGAGGTTGATGAGGAGACAGAAGGTAATAAAGTGGATGTGAGCACTAGATTTGGTGTAGAAATAGTATGAGTAGGATAAAGGGTAAATGTGAGAGATAAGGGAATAGAAGATTGGTATAATTGAGAGGAAACAGGTTGGGATGGAGAATGGTGGAAGGTATGAAATGGAAAGGTTGACTCATAAAAAAGAACATGCCTTGAAATATACAACCTGTGAGTAGATGGATGTAGACACAGGTAGCCCTTGTGATTTAAGCTATACCCCAAGAAGACACAGGGCTTGCTTTTAGGATCTATGAAAATGACATAATACCGAAAACCATGATGAGACATTATGGGTGAAGGTCCCCAAACATCTGTATGGATAAGTTCTAAAGGCTTGCAGGTTGTACAAGTAGTACTAGAAAAATGAAGCTTAAAACATTTCCCTAGTGCACAAGTTGAGCAAAAGGTTTTATTTGAAGCATCAAGAACAGAAATACATGATTGAGAGGCCAAATTATTTATGATCTTTATAGAATTGTGGCCCAATCCTTGATGCCAAAGATGCTTTGGAGCTTTGACAGATGCAGCTAAAGCTTGTTGAGAGTTAGCAAGATAAGATGATGAGTGAAAATGATAGAATCCATGTTGAACTAGTCCTTTAAAGAGCATTCTCCCCGAAGAACGATCCTTCACAATGAAGTGAAAAAGGATAAAGATGCATAGAACAAGAATTGTCAAGTAGAAATTGATTAACAGAGAGAAGATTATGCTTCAAATCAAGAACATGTAAGACATGCTTCAATGCAAAGGATTGAGTAGAAGTATGTAAAGAGGTTGAGCCAAAATGGAGAATAGGCAAACCTTTGCCATCTCCAATGTATACTTGCTTAGGACCAATGTATGCTTCTAGATTCTGAAGGTTGGCAAATGAGTTTTTCATATGAGAACTGGCACCAGAGTCAACAATCCAGGTAGGAGTAGAATTGGAGGTACTAGCAACCATTGCAAAATGAGAAGATTTTCCATTGTAGTTTTGATCCATGCGATGAGGACAATCACTAGCTTCATGGTCTGGTTGTCAACAAATCTGACAAAAAAGCTTTCGATTTGAAGAGTAGTTGTTGCGAGCTCCACGATTAAATCTTTGATTGTTGTTTCAAGAGTAGTTATTTCTGCCATTGTTGAATCTAGAATTTCCATGATTTTGAAAATTGCCTCGATTTGTGCCTGGATAATTCCGATCCACGTTGCAGCCTTGATTGGAGAAATTAGGAAGATGCTGTGCAGCAAACGCTTGTGGGGTAAAGTTTGCAAGCAAGGGAAGAATACCAGCAGAGGAATTATATGCTTGAAACGGTGCAGCTGAGACAGTTTTCTTCCGATTGTTGAGTTGAAACTCCTTACTGATAAGTAATTTGTGCAATTCATCAATAGTCGTGGAACCAATACAAAATTGAATAACATCCACAAAGGAGTCAAATTCGGGAGGCAAGCCATGAAGTGTGACTGAGATGAGTTCTGAATCTTTAATAGAAGCATCAGCACTTGTAAGTGCATCTGTAATTTCTTCAATTTGTTAGAGATATTGAGCAGCAGTCAATTCACCTTTAACAAGACTGTGAAGACGAGATCGAAGCTTGTGAATGTGAGACTGAGATGCAGTGGCGAGATGCGATTCCAATTTCGCCTAAAGTTCTCGAGCATAAGTTACGTCGACTGTGTAAGGGATAAAGGATTCAAATAAAGTGGAATTGATCCAGATGAGAATGTTCTGATCATTCTTAAACCAAGTAACATAGGCTAGATTGAGAGTTGCAGTCCGATTTCCAAAGGAATCAAGAAGATATTTGGGCGGTGCCACCATAGATCCGTCGGTGAGACCAGTGAGATTGTAACGACGAAGAATTGGGGCAAACAAGGCACTCCAGGTCAGGTAATTTGTAATTGTAAGCTTGATTGGAACCATAGATCCAATATTTTGGATCGTAATGAAGGAAGAAATCGCAGAATTAGGGTTGGGAAGGGCATCTGGAATCAGATGAACAGGAGAATTCGATTCCTATGAGGGAGATGTAGTGGTCACCATAGCTGAAGATTGAGAAGGAAATCGCGATTAAGAACAAGGAATCATGATCAAGATCAAGAACACGATCTATCAATCGAAGAAGATGAAGTAGCTGAGTCGATGCAGAGAAAAGCGGGAAAATTTTTTTTAGGAAGATAAGGCGGTGTAGAAAGGTGTCATGAGACTAGTGGCTCGTGATACCATATTGAGAAAAATAGTTCTCATTAATTCAATGCATAACTTTACACTTTGGGTATTTATACAAAACCATCACAGTCATATCAGCTAACAAAAAAAGGAATAACAACTAAAACTAACTAACTAAACATTCCTTAGCCTCTAAGTTTATCACTTGAAGGTGTAATTACATTTTTATCCTTAATACCACCCACATGACAGGATTGTTTCCTTTATATGTGTTGTTTGAATCACCTTTGTCCCAACGCGGCCTTGAACATACGTACATATATATGCATGAAGGTGTATATGTATATATGTCCAAATTTTACATAAAATTGAAGGATATAATTCGGTTAATTACGCAAAAACATTGTTATAAGGTATTAATAGGGTTTGAGTGTTTTTTTACAAATAAATCATTCAAATATAGTGTACAAACTTTGCTATTATGTAGATCGTAAATGAGAAGGTGTTTAGCTCGAATAATATTAAGAATTTAGTATGGGTTGGCATTAAGAGCATTTTTACGCATGTATTAAGTGGTCTTGTGTTCGGATCTATATGATGCATACGTGGCCTTGAACAAGGTCGGATGCTTTTCTTCATTTATATTTTATTTGTGCACTCGAGATTTTATGTTCGATGTATTTAAAATACGATGAAAAAAGCCTGGTTCTTAGTCCAAACAAAAGTATCGTTGCAAGGGGACAAAAGAAAAAATAACTGGGAGCTGGGTCACCTATCCCTTAAAATACTGAAAACAAACGTCTCATAATTACATGGCTTAGAATTGGATATTGCAGGATACAATTTTTTCTTCGACAATTTTAATTACTAGTAACTAAAATATATTGAATCTAAGAAGTTTGGTGGACCTTCAGTATGAGACTATTTTATTTATATATCAACAGTTCTTTTATTTATGGCACAAAATACGTAAATTCTCATTTGGTAGTGTGTTAAAATAAAAGGTTGATAGACACATAAATTGAATAAAGAAACCGCTTGCCAAGAGTTTTTTGCTCGATTGATTAAGAGTGTCCATGTTGCACTTAAGGTCTCGAGTTTGATTTTTCTTGGTCCTATTACTGCTTGTATTAAAAACCAATAAAGAAAAAGAAAGTAACTATTTTAACTTAAACACAAATTTTGATTGGTTTTAAGTGAGGCATGCGCACCACGTGTTATTATGACTATAAAGCAATCAATTTCCTTGAAAAGAAGTCACGTGCAATGTGCGTCTTATATTTGCACAAACCTGACGTCATGTGACACTTTTTGAAAATGAAAAATTGAGGCTGAGTCTCTTAAATTTTTCTTAATAAATTGAAATTTGTGTTTTAAATTTCTTTTAGAAAATCTAACAATTAAGATTTTCCATACACCAAAATTATCATAATTGCAAAAATCTAACCCCTTTTCCATGTTCTTTATAGTATTTTGTTGGTGAAAGAAACTACTTGGCAAGGGGTTTGTTGATCAGTTTGTCAAGAATATAACCTACACTCGAGGTTTCGTATTCAGTTTTCCCTCTTTTAATATCGTTGGTATTAAAAAAATAATTGCTTGAAACTTAAACTAAATTTTAATTTGTTTCAAATGGTGCATGCACACCACGTGTTACCGAGACATTAAAAGAAATTAATTTCCTGTAATAAAATTCACATGTACTACTCATGTAACTTTTTGGATAGAGGTGACACGTTTCAAAGACGAAAAAAACCAAGGCGAACTCCCACTTAAATATATCTTTAAGGTAACAAATTAAAATTCGTCTCTGTAATTTTCTTTTTGAAAAATCTAATAATTAAGATTTTCCATACATCAATATTATCATAATTGCAAAACCTTCTTTTAACCTCTTTAATTCTTCCTCTTCTTCCCCAGGTACCAAGTTCGATTCTGCCTCATCTAATATCGTTTGTATAAGTCATTTAGTACTACGGTTTAGTTTAGTGGTATTCTTCTTCACTTGTAAGTGAGAGGTTTTAGATTCGATTCTCGCCAAATGCAAATTTGAACCATATTATTGCTAGCTCACTATGAGGCTTAGCCCACTCTCCCACCTCTTTAGTGTAAATACTGTCGTTTGTTAAAAAAAATATCGTTGTTAAAAAAACAAAAAAGAAAGAAACTGCCTAAACCGTTACATGAATTTTGATTCGTTTAAGTGAGGCATGCACGCCGCGTGTTATCAAAACATTAAAAGCAATCGATTCCTTTGAAAAGAAGTCACGTGCAATGCGCATGTAACCTTTTTTAACGGATCTAACATCAAGTGACACGTTTCATTGACGGAAAAACCAAAGCGGAGGCACCCTCGAATTTTCTTTAAGGTAACAAATTGAAATTTATCTCTGTAATTATCCTTTTGAAAATATAATAATAAAAGATTTTCCATACACCAAAATTTTCATAATTGCAAAAACTTCATTCAACCTCTTTTTTTTTTTTTTTTTTCCTCCTCCATATTTTGTTGGTGAAAAGGACAAAAGAAAAATATATAATAAATTGACACACACAGCGAGAAAAAGAGGCAGTCGGAAGTCTTTCATGTCCAGAAACTTAAATATATATATATATATATATTCATTGTCTTAGCTGCATTGTCTTTCTCTCGACCATCCCGCGTCACTTGCAATCTTCAACCTTCTCCTTCACGTATTTTTCTTCAACTTATATACTCTCACTGCATGCTTTAAAATCCAACCAAAATAAAAAAAATTAACACCATTAATATCGCATATATTTATACACTAAGCTACAAACTTTCATCGTCCAAAAACCCGATCCTTTAAAGCCAAACCATCTCCTCTCATACACAGACATCGTGTTCTTTCTGTTCATCCTCTCTGTTTCTCTCACAGGCTTCAAATTTCAGGTTTTTGGCTGATGGGTTTTCTCTGAATTGTGTTGGATTCTTAATTGTTTGATTTTCTTGCCTGACAAACACTTTGGAGTTTGTTGTTGTTGCTTTTGAGTTCTGAAATGGGACCGATCAGAGGGTCCAGGAGGAAGAAGAAGGTTGACCAGAATGTGTTAGCTGCTTCAGACTCTCAGACCCTGGAATGTTGGTGGGATGGCTTCTCTCAGAGAATTACGGGTACAAATATTCCTCTGTTGCTGCTTCTGTGTTTTCGCATTATCTTTTTACACGGGTTGTTTTGTTGGTTAATATGTTTTAATCGGTTGTCTTTAAATATATGCATTGGTAATTGGTTTGGATATATATGGTTTGTTGCTTATGAGGGCATTTCTTGGATTTTTGTTTTTTGTTTTTTTTTTGATGAAATATTAGGATTTGGGTTCAATGCAGTTTTCAGAAATTGGATATTTTTGTTGTGACTAGTGAATCATATTTGCAAGTGGATTTCTGGTGGTATATAATCTTACAATCTTACAGTTCTTAGCTTCTGTTGATTCGTGTTATCGAGCTCTTGTTTCGTGTACTCGTTGTTGCTCAGAGCATAGCATTCCTAGTTTGATGACTATTTAGGGTATTATTTTAGGTTTTATGCATTATTCCTTCCATTAAATTTATGATGCTAATATATAACTTCGTCAACGGTTTCCTTGTTTGTAATTCCGGTTGATATATAAGTAGTTGATTTTTGTTGATTTCTTATTTTGATGTTTCTCTTAGCAGACAATCCTGTTGGTGTTCATGACAGCGATTTGTTCTAAGCATGTGTTGAAATTTTAAAACAGGCTGCATTATTTTCGGTGATTAGATTGTGGTATTGTGCCATGAATGTTTTTTCTTGAGATAAGGTTGTGTTATACATTCCCTTCCCAAGTATATTTCTCTTCATTTTTCTTGTGCATTAACCTTAGGTTCCTCAATGTGAGCATACCTGGTCTTCTGATTAGATTCAGGATAACCTGTTTGTATCTTGGCGTTTGTAGGATTTGCTGAGAGTTATGGCCTAAGAGCGATACTTTAATATGTTTAGATTTTGCGGTTAACATAATGTTCCTGTTACGAGTACAGATTTTTTGTTTTGGACTGTCCTACACCAGTATTTCAATCAATCAAAACAAAGTGAGTGGACTGATTTGGAAAACACTCGTAGGCATATAGCAGAGGGAACGGCAGACAGAGAACCATGGGGCACCTTGGTTTTGTTTTGGTTGTGTTCTCAGATGACATGGTTAGGTTCAGAAATTTCTTTATCTTATATAGCGAGGGTAATCTATTAGTTTCAAGTTATGCTGTTTGATTTAACTCCTTTGTTTGAAAGCTATACAAAGCGACGTTTTTTTAATGAAAAAAGTGTAGAATTCTATGTACTTACCTCATGAAATACAAAAAAATGCAGACTTCTTAATGAAGTCTTTCCAATTTCATAGAAGATAGCTTTCGTGCTGAGTATTTAATTCTTATATGCTGCTCTGTCAAACCTTTAGGGTGATCCTTTGTGTGGAACACTACGGACCTACGGTAACTTGGTCTGATCAGGTGGACAAGATTAAGTCCATAGCCACAGAACTCAAGCAACAGTCGTCCAAAATGAGTGTCCGTATACTTATCTGGATAGAGTAGGTTGCATAAACATTAAAAAGGAAACAGCAATAGCTTTCAAGAGAACATGGTATAGGAGTTAAAAGAACGTCGCTAAACAAGTTTGGGATCACATTTTATCATTTATTCAGGATTTTGGTGTCTGCAGTCTTTTTTGTTAGGAAAGATAGGTCCATCTGCAAGTTGTACAACAGAAAGGCACAAGATTTTGGCGATTTGATCATGTACCGTATACCTATACCTCAAAAGATTTAACTTTCCAGCTTTTATGTCGAATGTCCTCTATGTTATGTTCTTCACTGAGAAACTTAGATTTGCACCTGGAATGAAATACAGTAATTAAGACCTTCTTTTGTTCAGCATAGTTCTCTTCAGTGGTTAAGGAGTTAAAGCATATTTTCGACCTCACTTGCGTTCGATGATATTTCAGGCTATATTTATATTACTTGGCTAACTCTTGCGGTTAAATGAATTCTATCCTCTTTTGCAGAGGTTTTTCTGATCTTTTGGTTCTGCCAAGGACATTGGCATAAAGGTTCTGAAATTCACATTGATAAATGATTAAATTTTGTTTTCTACTTTCTAGGTCAATCAAAATCTAAAGGCGCATTGAAATTTGAATCTTTCTTCAAAATTTCGATAAAGACATTCGCCTACATCTGTTCGCTTGTAAAGGAAGATATGATGGCCAGGTCAACCTTCTGCTACTCAAATAACAAGCCATTATGTCTGAATGACCAAGTTGCTATCGCTCTTAGGAGGCTCAGCTCGGGTGATTCTTTGTGCAGCATCGGTGAATGCTTTGGCATGAACCAATCCACTGTTTCGCACATAACCTGGCGGTTTGTGGAAGTAATGGAAGAAAAAGCTCTGCACCATCTGTCATGGCCTAAAGAGCAGGGTGAAATGGAGGAGATAAAGTCCAAGTTTGAGAAAATTCGCGGCCTTCCAAATTGCTGCGGTGCAATTGACATCACACACATCATGATGACTCTGCCTTCAGCGGACTCATCAGATGATGTCTGGCTCGATGGCCAGGAAAACTGCAGCATGATCTTGCAGGCAATTGTTGATCCAGACATGAGGTTCCGTAACATAATCACAGGATGGCCAGGAAGTCTGAGTGATGACATGGTCCTTAAAAGCTCAGGTTTTTTCATGATGTCCGAAGAAGGAGATTACTTAAATGGGGAGAAGTTAGTGCTTTCACAAGGAACGGAAGTGAGAGAATACGTAGTAGGAGATTCCGGCTTTCCTCTCTTGCCGTGGCTTCTCACTCCTTACAACAGAAGAGGCCGCCTCTGGGAGCATGAGTCTGATTTCAACAAGCGGATTTTTGCAACGCAGATGGTGGCGCAAAGGGCGTTGGTGTGGCTGAAAGAGACGTGGAAGATAATTCAAGGCGTCATGTGGAAGCCGGATAAGAACAAGCTGCCGAGGATTATTCTTGTTTGCTGTATACTGCACAATATAGTGATTGATATGGAGGATAAGGTGCAAGATGAAATGCCATCGTCTCGCCATCATGATCCCGGTTACCAGCAACAAATTTGTGAATCTGCCGCTGACGATATGGCGTTTCAACTGAGAGAGAATCTCTCAATATACTTAGCCGGAAGATTGTCTCCCTGAGGAGACCAGACCCTTGGTTGCATCCTGGATGGTGGTTTCATTGGTTTTTACTTTTTGTAATCTTTGCCAGTTGAAATTGGAGAGTTTATAATCTTTGGGATTTTGCTTTCTTCTATAGAAACTGTCTTAACATGGTTTAGTTGAAAAAATGACACCATATAAATATGGTTCTTTAGCATTCTGAGTATCTATATGTTAGTGTGTGTTACTGTCACATTTGTGTTATTGATCGTCTTATAATGTGTGGATAAATAAGGTTGATATGTCACGAACTTTAAGTATAATATTAATAAATAAATATGTATGTTATAAGATAACTGAACTGATAATACCGCGTAATGGTTGATGACAATTACACAAAAACACTTCTCTTATTTGGTTAAAGGCCTAATGGAAAAGAGATGCTATTTTCGAGGACATTGCCGTTTTGATTATCCAGCTTTTTAGGGGACTTAAGTTAAAACATCCAAAATATCCAGTACTCCGGAGCACCAAATTTTTTTGGCTTCTTTAGTCCCACATTACACCAAAACATGACAATGCTAGTCTAAGACATCTACGTTCTAGCTTCTTGGTTCGGCATTACACCAAAAACAAAACAATGTCAGTTCGACTTAGACTAAGCCAACACAAAAAACATTATTCCTACAAGCGGTCAAGTCCAAGATAGTCATGCGTAAAAAACAAGCATTAGTGAGACTTAACGGTCCTCCTTAGGTTTAAAATTAACAATGAGTTTGGAAATACTTTTACCACGTGGCCACGTCGACTCAAATGGGACCGCATGCAGGGGATTTGTGAGATAAAATGAGGGCAAAAAGGGAGGCCACTTTCCCTACTAAAATGCAAGCAGGACACAAGTGATATCCATTCCAATAAACCACCATATTGGTTTTATATATCAAGCCTAAATGAGGTACCAATAATCTACGAATTACAAGTCGAATCATCAACGAAGTACAATAGTAAACCAAATTGACGATCATAGGGCTCTAAACATGTCACTGTAAAGAACAGATTGTATAGATGAACCTCGTTTCATCGACGATGCTTTTCGTTCAATTAGCACGGCTTCTAATAACATCGAGACCCACTTCGGTAGGATCAGTAGCCTGCAACTCCATCTGAATTCCGTCCAACTCTCTCTTAAACGTGTCCTTTGAACTCGCGTAAATCATCTTGCTTCTCACCTTCGCTGTGTCAGGGGACCTTCATACATAGATCTTAAATGAGTGCAACAGCCAAGGAACATATAATGATATATACATTTAGAGTAATGAACGAGATCTACAACGCCTAGAACTCTACACTCTAATTAGTTACCAAGCAACGAAAATAATCCGGCTCTTCCGGCAGTTCTCCTCCGTCACGTAATCAAAGTCATAAACAGCGTATCGGCACTCGTTAGCAGGGAGGCTTGCAGAGAAATCCTCATAGCTGTCAGTTGGTTGGCCAAGCTTTTCCACTATGACCTCATTTTGCTTCTCCTCGATCTTGTAAACTATGAAGCGGTAAGTTCTTTTTGCCTTCAATTCTAAAAATTTTATCTTGCACTCGTCGTGTACAGCCATCCCTGATCGTGCGTTCGCCTACGAAAATTCAACAAATACCAAAATGCATCAAATACCCACAATGCATCAGTACTAAATTAGCAATTGTATGGCTACACAGAAGTTTTCACTTCATTCCTCCAATCACGGAACAATTGAAAACATACAGCAACATTCCAAATATCCAAAACCAAAACACACCTTGCTATTTTCCCGTCACGGTTTATCAACTCTCGGTTCATAGTAAAAGCTAAGAATTACTGGTTTCTTCAAGCATCTCATAATTCCAAACTATTAACAAACCAAATGATTGATAAATCACTGACATACTTATACCTGCCATTGAAAAATTAATCACCACTACACCAAGCAAAAGAAGAAGAAAAAACCAACAAATGTGGAACAAATGCTACGTAAGGTTCAATTTCTTAGGACTCGTTTGGAAATGCTTTTAAAATTATGGAAAGCGCTTATGATGAAAATACTTTTGGAACCAATAAAATAGTAATAGAATCCTAGGAAATCACTTTCTTGCTCCATGCAAGAATCACTTTGCAGGAAACACTTTAAATGTTTTTGGAACCCAAAAGCATTTTCTCTAAAAAGCGCTTTCAATTATTTTAAATAAGTATTTTTAGCCATTACACTAATCATAATTCAAATTAGTCATCCAAGTTAAAGGCAAAATGTAAAATTCAGGCTTAAAATTATGGAAAGTGCTTATGATGATAATACTTTTGGAACTAATAAAATAGTAATAGAATCCTGGGAAATCACTTTATTGCTCCATCAACATGCAAGAAGCACTTTGCAGGCAACACTTTAAATGCTTTTTCCAAAAGCATTTTCTCTAAAAGCGCTTTCAATTATTTTAAATAAGTATTTTTAGCCATTACACTAATCATACTTCAAATTAGTCATCCAAGTTCAAGGCAAAATGTAAAATTCAGGCTCAAAATATAATCACACCAAAAAAATCAAAATTCATGCTTTGTGATTGCAAAACACAAAATCCACATATACAACAGGCACTTATTGCAAAATTATAAAATCAAATCAAAATTAAAATGCATATGCAACTGTACAAACTCATAGAATAATCGTCGTTGGATAATCAAAAGGGATGCGATTCCACCATCAACTTCTAATTTACCCACCATTTCATGAATTTCTCACAATCAAGCAAAAAAATTTCAAAAAAATTGAACACCAAAATCGCACATATAATCATACTGCAGAGGATCATCAATCCAGAAAAGAACTGAAATTATAACACAAGCCAAACCCCAGAGAGAGAGAGAGTGAGTGAAGTAGATGAAGTGCTCACCATTTTCCCGAGAAAATATTGGCGGAGAGAGAGAGAGAGATATAAATGGATAGAGTCTCAGCGGTGGAAGAGGAGGGCTGCGGGTCGTGGCAAGAATATGTGGGAGCCTTCCGCCTTCGGAAGAGTTGCTAATATCACCGTCACGGCAGAGAGAAATTGGGCGGTGATCCAACGATAGTTGAACACGTGTTCTACGTTGTGCAATTACTATGAGAGATGGCATGTGATTCACGTAAAGTAAAACGGGCTCTCGTACATTTGGTTTTGCTTCCATGGGCTTGGCCCAAACGTTAGCTCCTGGTCCAAGACTCCATGCAATCGAAAATTTTAAAAAATGAAAATTCCAACTTTTATTCATGGATAGTATTCGGGTTTATCTCTTTATATTTATGTTGTGTTTGTATTAAATTAAAAATTGATCAACATGTCGAAAGACATAAAATAATGCATCGATTGTTTGGAAGTATTTTTTAAAATGATTAAAAGCGTTTTTGGTGAAAATGTTTTAGAAACCAATCTTAGTACAGATACATATGGATCTTGAAAAAAGTGTTTTTTTCAAGAAGTACATATCTGATGTTTTTTTTTTCTTCAAATTTTGAAACCTAAAATCAATTCCACCAAAAGTTCATTTCAAAAACACTTCCAAACGAGTTCATAATAATAAGGCAAATTATAATAATTATTAGATAAAAAAATACGTAGTTTTATAAAATTCAACACACACACCCAATTTCTCGAATATACGAAGCAGCTCATACAAAATACATACAATTGCACACCCCAACTGTAATAAAATCATTTACGAGTAGAATTATCTTATAAAAATAATCTTGAACAATTCATAAGCTACAATTCAGAATGTTCGCTTCATCAATAAATATGTCGAATGAACTATCTTTACTTAATTCTTGAATGGATTCAAATAGCACTGTCAAATTGTTAGGCGCAGTGAAATTTGGAGTTCCACTCCAAAATAGCTTGGCAAACTGCTGGTTGGCACTTTTAGTTGCATGAGCAGAGTCAAAGAAGAGATGTTCACTAAGGCCATCTCCAATCGAATGTTGGTCAAAAGATTCGTTTTAGCCTTCTAGTCCTCCAAAATATTCATATTTTAATTAACAGTACATGGGCCATATTTGCCTCTATCTCCAACCGAGGGCTAAAGGGTCATAGGGCTCGTTTTAGTCCTGTCACAAAAAACCGTCTCCAACCGAGGGCCAAACATAATTTATTATTTAAAAACTACAACTTAAATTCAAATCCAACAGCTAAGTGATGTCAGCTAGCCATTGGTAGCTGATGTCAGTTAGCCGTTGGATTTGAATTTTTTTTTACTATAAATAGGGTGGATATTGGGCTATAATTCACACAACTTTGAATTCAATTTATTTCAATTCAATATCTTTCAATTCAAATTTGCAATGAATTCCAACTTTGAATCCTCTTCGGATTCCAACTGGGGGTCCTCATCCAATTCCAAATTGGAAGAAAAATAGGCGCAAATGAGACAAGAAGATGAGGAGTCTGATGAAGAAGTTCAAGTAAGGCACAACAAACAAAACAAAGCAGCAGCCATGGTTGCGGCCATGGCGTGTCAGCTAACTGAGGAACAACCTCAATGGGGTGGCTTTGTTACTGGTTGCTCTTACAAACTACAAAACAGAGTGATGGCGCATGCCAAACGTTGTTCAGAAGAGGATTTCAAACGTTGCTTCCGGATGAGGCGTCATGTCTTCAAGTGTTTACTTCGAGAAAATTTGGACTCCATCATGATGTCTTGCATCATATTACACAATATGATAGTGGAGGATGAGCGAGATGGGTATATTGATGGAGAGTTCGATAATGACCAAGAAGATCCAAATAGGTCAAGAAGGACTCCTGCAAAAATATATGATGGGCCTAATTTGCCTTTCAATCCAAGAACTGGTAGTATCTCTATAAATGAGTACATGAGGCGCTATAGAATGATACATTCTCGTGCTACAAACAAGTACATACAACAGAATCTTGTTGCATATCTTTGGGCCAAAAATAGCATGGAGTAAGCGTTTAAGTTTTATGTTGTTAAATGTTTTTAAAAATGTTGTTTTAGTTTCATGTTGTTAAATGTTTTTTTTATGTTGTATAATTTTTATGTTGGTTATGTTATTTAATGTTATTTCATATTGTTTAATGTTGTTTCATATTACTTAATTTAATTTAATGTTGTATAATGGCTTAGGAAGTTATAGGGAAAAAATAGAATTTTAAAATATA